TCTCTCTCTCTCTCTCTCTCTCTCTCTCTCTCTCTCTCTCTCTCTCTTTCTTTTGAAATGCCAAATCACTTTATCACTGTAGAACGCCAACTAGAAAACAGAGTGACAGGTCTAGAAAAACACCATCGTGGGTGATGAGTGGGACAGGAACTGTTGCCAGCCACCTTCATTCCTTAGCTGTGCAGTAGCCAAACCACACAACTGCACATTTCAACTGCAGCCCCACCTTGGCTGGCGCAGACATAGGGCACAAGAGTGAAGGCCGAGAGTGCTTCTTGTTGTGTTCCAGACTCTTCTCCTCATTCTTCTGTACACTGTTCATCTAGCATGACCCATTGCCTGTAAACAGGGACCGCTTTGCCTCAGGCAGGAACTGTCTGAACTCTGACAGCAGGTCCTCCTGACCACGGTAGAGATTGGCCACCTCTCTCACACACGCCACGAAATGGACGACCTTTAGTGTGCACTCAGCTATCTTTCTTAACACAGGACAATATCCCAATCTTCTTAGGCCCTCCAAAACAGACGTTGCCCACATTCAGCAGCAAGGAATCTTATAAGAACAACATTCTCATTTCCAAGAGGTGAGGTGGATTGTTCTTGGTTGTTCAATGGATGATTTTTGTCATCATCTTGGGGGGGGTTAGATGCAAGTTGTTAATGGGCTTGGTTAGGGAGCATACAGAGTAAAGGGGGTTACATTAAGGGATTTCTCTCTTTTTGTTTCCTCTATCCTTCTTTCTCTTCTATCTAATGTTGGGGAGAAGGGAGAAAACGGAAGAAAAGGAAAAAGGGGGCTATAGGAATGATAGGATTTACAAGGCAAATATTTTACATTTGGAATAAATTCTAAACATTAATACAAAATTAAGATTATATTTTTGTTGCAATATACTATATTATATATGTTTCAATTCTTTCTTTTAGGTATTGTACCTATGTATCTCATTTAAAAATACAAGTTCTAGTCCTTGAATAGTATTATTGTAAACTGTTTAGGAAAATTAAGAAAAATAAGTTAGTAGTAAATTAATCAAACTTATAGTCACGTTAGATACTAATATAGTTATTTTCAGAAATATGTTTCTTAGGTTTAATAGATAGTAAATAGGTAGAAGCAAGCAATGTTTCCATATTCAGATATACTATAGATAGATGGTTCAAAACACTCAGTGACTGACAGAATATGACATTTAAAGATGTTTTACTAATAAAAGGCTTTTTTTGAGAGTTGTGTCAACTCCTAACACTATCCCCATTCCACTTCAAAGAAGATAACGAGCATCAAAAAACTTCCATATGGAGTTTGCTTCTATGTGGCAAGCTAGCCACTGGGAAAGAAACTGCCCTAGCTTCAACTGCAGACAGCACTCTGTCTAAGCCGAGGACAAGCAGAACATGGAAGCAGCTGACTGCTGGAGATTGTAAGGACAAGGTAAACAAGTCATTCATAACTCCTGCTTCACAGAAATGTCTGTCAGGTACTGGGCCAAAAGGCCGAGGATGATGCGCCATCATTACAGAGAAACCTTGGATGACTGTCTAGGCAGTCAACCTGCCTCTGTCATTTCTAGAGTTTTCGAAGCTGCTTGCTCTGTACTTCATGTTTCCTCAGCTAATATTTACTCTTCTGGCATCATTAATGGAGTTGAAGACAAGATAGCTATAGCCTTACAATTAAGTCTTTGTTTTTTAGGATTTGAGAAAATGTTTCAAGGTCTGAAAAGATATTTCTAGGTTGATAAAATTATAGTTGTGACAGCAAATGATTTAAATACAGAACTCTGAACTCATCACGTAAGGATAGTTAGGTGAATACTTTCTCCAAAGTTGCCAAATGCAAATGGACTAGACATTATGCATGTAATTACCTCACAGTTGTTACTATGGAAATCAGGGTGTTGGTCTCTCGGTAAGGTGAGAATCGCTCTACCTTAAGATTCATATATACCACTCTTGGGCATACACCCAGAGGAAGCTTCATCTTTTCACAGAGACACTTGCTCAAAGATGTCTGTTGCTGCTCTAGTCAGAATAGGCAGGAATTGAAAACAGCTAACATGTCCTTCAGCAGAGGAATGCATGATGAAAATGGGGTACATTCACAGAACAGAAGGTTACTCTGCCACTTATCCAGCAGTTGTTCAGTCCCTGAGGCTGGATCTCTCAGTGGTCCTCAGCACATGCTGAAGTCCTGAAGGAGTGGGCTCTCATGCCAGTGAGGCACTGGACTAGACAGCGGAGTGAGGGAAGCAGACAAAGAGCACAGCTTCCTTCCCAGCCTTTTCACAGGCTGCACCACAAGGCGTGGCTCAGATTTAAGGTGGATCTTCCCACCTCAAAAGATGTGGATCAAAGGTGGGTCTTCCCACCTCAGGTGATTTAATCAACAAAAATCTCTCACAGGTGTACCCAGCTGCTTGGGTTCTATTAATTCCAGACATGGTCAAGTTGACAACCAAGAAGAGTCATCACCGCTTCCTGCCAAGCCAGGTAGACAGCTGTGCTGTGTGCACTCAGATGTCTCACTGG